TGCAAGATCACATAAAAATTATGTAATATTCTATTTCGAGTATGTTCTATAATTTCAAATGAACTGATCGTAGTTTCATTCATGCCTTTTCGCTGCACAAATTAGCCAAAATTAGATCCAGCTCACGATTTCTACGTAAGCTCATTAAAATGACGTTCAACTTTTCTATATTGTTGTGTTGTAAGTTGAATATTAACTTCGATTGAAACGTCTTCATTTCGGTATCAAGTCGCGCCACTTGCATCTATACAGTTAACAACAAACTGTTTTCTCATACTTGTAAACATCAATTTAATTAATCGAATAAGTGTTTGCCTCTCCGTAAACTTCGTCAACGTTCACAGAAAATCCGCTCTTCAGGTCAATGTTTTTCACTTGGATCATGAGTATAGTAATGGCTTACGCTCAGTGCAAGCCTTATATCAAACCTACGAACATAATTATAACACTTTGAAGTGACACCTAACAAAGCAACTTTTCGCCCTCAACGCGTAAAGAAGACAACCTAATATCTCTTACTTTTAATAATCTGAAATATTGCGGCATCTGACGGGAATTTTTTCGCACAAAAACCGACTTGTTTTTTGGCATAACAGAAATGAGCAGGTCTGAAGAAACTAAGAATCTTATGTAAATAATCTTTAGACTAAAAGTTTGGACGTCGCATATATTTAATCTTCTCATTCATTGATATAAAAAAACTGGCACACGAATGTTACGTTACGTAAATGCTTCTCTGATCTGACCGCTTTATTATAAGGTTACTCGTGACAACTAATTTCTTTAGCGCGTTACCAAAATAACGCTGTCAAGTCAAGTCGACGCGTCTCGCAGCAAGTAACAAAGAGGTGCCCAGTATCACTTCACGACCGGCGATGGCAGGGAAAGTTTCAAAAAACTTGTCCTCACGCGTCCAAGGGCAGGCAGTGGACCGAGTTAAGCCTGTTATGCTGATTAAAAAATTTCAGAGTACATTAAGTCGTTGAGTCTAAAGATGCTGAGGCGGCTCTTATATGAAAACTGATCTCACAGTTGTAATCGGACAGGGAACGAAGTTAGCTTTTTGTAGGATGAAGCCGGAGCTTGGACCTTTACAAAGTTCATTTTACCCACTGCATTGGATAAAAAACTTTCGTGATTCTTTTTTCCATCAGTAAAAAGACTGAGAGCTGGTTAAATTGATTTCCTCTAGGCTGGAAGCCCGATACCTGTTCGAGTGCAGGGTCGTAATGTGCAGGGTTCCCCATCCTAATAAGACATGGGGTTTGAAGGTTGGCTGACTGGATTCATCACAGGTCATGTCAAGGGATAGTACTGTACATGATTGATTTAGGTGAGATTATTTAAATGAAGAAAAGGCTTGAGATTTTTTCATGGATTGATGTATTAATGCGAATGCGGACCAACGTCTAGCTGTTTCCAGGCAATTTTCTTCTATTTTAGATTTGTGATAGTCATTAATGGATATCGCACAAACTAAGCAGAAAGATAAAACCAATGATCCACCTCATTTTATCAGAACATCGTAGTACAAGAATCATTGCTACACTCCAGCTTCTAAAGATCTTTGCTACTCGGTTTATCATCCCTTATTAAGGTTCATTTTACACTCCAGGTGTCAATTTTAGAAACAATCCATGTACAACATCAGCTTGGTAAAACCTTCGTACATACATGCCTAAATTGAAGTTTATCTACGATCCTAACATTAAGTGTCCTCTGACGATGCTGACGAACGGTTCGATAACATTCTAGAAAACAAGTGCTATTTACCATGGTTTATCCATCGTCTCGACTTTTCGGCGCCCGGCAGCTAAGTTAAGTTATTCGAATGCTCTCACTAGGGCGAGTGTTTCATACGAGTTAAAAATTACTCTCTTTATATCAACAAATACGTTTTCAAGTTGATTTGGCTAAATAAATTATTCAGCGTTTATCCTCAATACGATAAGCAATCCATAAGCTAAGTAGTTGCTTAATTCTGCCATACCGGTCAATACAAACAGATGGTGGTGAATAATCTGTGTAATATTAATTGGGTATACACAACTACTTCTGGAGTGATGATGGTACACATTCCATAATTATTCCTAGACTTTTACAAACAGACGCCAATTATTGACGATCACGTTCGTTGAAGGGAACCCGCACCTATGAAGAGAGATGTCAAAAAGGGGTTGACGAGCGATTGCTCGGTGATGCCAACGCGCTGCTTTTGGTTGTGATCTATGACGATAAAATGGACCTTTTGTCCTCCACACGAAGATGATCCAAGCGGCGGTTTAATTATGTTAACCTGGTCTCCTTTAACGTGCCGGCGCAACGCTCTGGATCTACTAAGTTACTTCGCAAAAAAATTCTCCGAGTTCCTTTTAAAATAAGGCAATAATGTTCGCCAATGTCACGTGTATTAATACGGCGCAGCGCAAGTTTCACAAAAGGATTTTCGCAGCCCGCAGAGACAAGCTGCAATATAGCAAACTCAGCTGAGAAACACAGAAGCTTTTTAAGAGCCTTCCAGAACATGGTCCTGAGTCCGTAGAGTAATGCGAAGGAAGAACAATTAAGTCGTCAGGACTGTTAGATACGTCGCACTGTTTTATCCCGCTGCGCCATGGCTAGACCTTCTGTTGAATTAACGCTTTAGCTCAACTACACATTGCGTTGGCTTAATTGTAGCGTCGGGTTATAGGTGCCCACTAACCAGCCACCGGTCAGCCGCTGGTAATTTCTATGTCGACGGTCCTGGCTCCAGCAATCGCTCGCCACAAGTTGCTGCTGAAATGTGACCGCATGAATCTTAGTTTCATAGATCACTGTAATCGTTTCTTAAATTAAACGCAAACAATTCCTTGGAACTCCTCCCAATGTGAGACAGAAGGAGCCATTAAAAAAAATACAGCAGGATGCAAGTTAGAGCATTTCTATAATCGAAACCCAGACCTCGTAATTTAAAAGTGGAGCTTTATAATACAAAACGAATTTTGAAAACTTTAATTCGAACATTTGCTGAGCATGGATATCATTCAAAATTAACTGGATCATTTAATTTACTTCAATAAATTTTTATGAGGAAGACATTTGTAATGAAGGATTATTTTATATTTCAAACGGAACATTTCTGTGATCTTCAGGGATTTAGGCTTTAAATACATTTGGGGTAACCTCAATAACATAATACGTCATTTTCGATACACAGCTGTTCTTGACTTCCACGTGGAACAATGGTTCGAAATAGGGTATTCGCACATCACTTATGGTAAGAGAGGGTTTTACAGGTGATGTATGAATACTTTCTGCTTCATGAAGGATTTTTAGTTGTTTGTTTTCTTTTTAAGTATTAAAAAATGTTCACTGTCTAACACAAAATTATTTAAGGACGATTTGCCTCTGTTGCCACATGCCACCAGCCTGAATTGTCAGCAGCCCAACGTGAATTGCAAACGGTACACCTACTTCATGCGCTAGTTGTGAGCGCATCAGTTAAATGCAAATTAGCTAATATCAAATATTCTAATATGTGATGCGGCTAATATGTAGTTGTAGTGATAGGCGTTGACTGCAAAACCTCCAGGAAGTACTGATCACAAAAGTTTTGGAACTACTGCTAGTGCGGAGAACATACTGTATGTATACATGCAATCATTGTATGTGGGACATAGATGTATAAGTTTCACTTTTGCAATTTGATGACCGTTGCACAAGTAATTTGCATGCAAAATAAACTAATTTAAGCATGAAATAAACATAGCCCGGTCTTTTTTGAAAATTCGAGAAAATATAATTTAGATCCTTCTGGTATTTTACAACTTAAATAAAAAGTTCATACCATAGATAAGAGAAAATTTTTGAGACAAAGAGCAATGGATTTTGTACATAAATCGACCCATATCAGATTTAACGAAGTAATTAGTATTATCAAGACAGTTATTTGATTATATGGCCCATTTTCTGAATTCAAAGTGCTTACTACGAATTGAAATTAAAGGTAGCCATCATTTAAAAAAATGGCTTGTCTGACGATCAAAAGATGCTTACACAGATGTGAACACTCCTTATTAATCTCGCAAACTACAAAGAAGCTAATGAACGCACTTAGTACGAATTGATTTCACTCATCTAAAAAAAATTGGGTTGTTTGTGATCAGCTATTCTGAATTGTGCACGTGAGCACATGAATTGGAAGTCATAAAACTTACCATATGAACGAAGATCATCATACCAACAACCAAGTAGAAAAACAGTGAAGAAGGAAATGGAAATAATTCCCGTTTACCCCTATAATGTAGTAAGAAAATTTCTCCCATTATTCAACATAGAACAGAATAATTTCATAATGCTAAACTCACTATAGAATTAATTGAAAAATATATAATTTTCAGCAAATCGGGCCTATTCAAAATAAAAATAATCCTGCAGTACTGAAAGGTTTCCGTAACGAGAACGCAACAGCTGGTCTAAAATGAACACTTTAGCCCTTAATTTGCAGTCAACGCTCAGCGGAGTACACAGCAATGACGGTGAACCGTCCTCGCCTGAACCTCGTACAAATAAAACAAATAATTAAACTTTTAAAAACCACGTTTTCTTAACGGACAAAAAAGAAAAACATTAACTCTTACATAACATTAAAGTTATGTAGAATGTTATGTTATGTTATGTTATGTAAGAGTTAATGTTTTTCTTTCTTGTCCGTTAAGAAAATGTGGTAATTAAAAATGGTTTTATATTCATTTTTTTATGAAAAAAAACGCGCTAATAATGAAGTCGGGTTAAGTGCGGAGGGAGGCGCATGCTTGAGTATAACTTCCATGAAGACTTGACTGACTAGAGCAGTGGCTGCTGAATTACGGCGCCTATGTATGAACATATCGTATGCTACTCAATCCTGAGTGTAAACATGATGGTGGTATTGGGCAATGCTGGCCACTAATATGCATCCTTTACTAACGCATAACAACCAATTTCTTAATATAATTTGGGGAGATAAAGCAAGTTCCGCCATTCAGGAAATAGTTTATTTCAATTCCACAAGTAAATTTGATAGCTCCATTCAAACAATTAAAGAATCTAGTCTAATATTAAACAAAATTGGACTGTGCAACACGCATTACGTGCAGAGATTTTACAGACATAACATACTCTACAACGTAGTACACGTACTGATTTGCAACAAATAGGAGTTAGTTGCTCTGATTATCATCAAGCTGCTAAGTTGTTCATGACACCATCTTAATGATGGAAGTGCCAACTTTCACAAGATTTCAAACATATCCAAGATGAAAGAAGCTTTGTGACATAGAATGCTTAGCATGAAATCGCATTAAAATGAGCTTGGGCTGTAAACTTTACAGAGTAGAATAGGTAGAACAACAGACCTGATCTTCCCGCGCAAAACTACAAGGAAAGCTTGCTCCCAAATACAATATAAAAAAACTCAAAAATAGGATTTTACAATTCTAAACAAAATGCAACACTAAGATACAATGCTCATGTCAGAAGGAATTATGCTAAACACCGTCAGATCTAGTTCTTAGAGTTTGCAGTGTGAAAGGCATCAAGATTATCACATGAAAACGAATTTACATGTTCCCAATTCAGGCATCTACAACTAACTTTACACGGCCAAATTAAAATTTAAATAAAACGCGCAATTAAGAGTTCCAATTTATTGGCAAATTTAGTAGTGCAAGCAAGGAAATTAACCTGCTCGGACGGAGCACACAATGAAATGTTAAACAATAAATTTATGAGTTATTATTTTGGTCTGAATTTAAGGAATTACAAATATTCCAGAATAAATTTAATTTGCAATCGGGGCTGAAACAGATGCGTGTGATGAGCGTAGCCACATAACCGGAATAGTTATTGACGTAAAATATCTAATTGCAATTTATTACCATGAACAATTTGATGACAATGTATAGGGCAACACTGAGCTGGTTGAAGAAGGGAATAACATAGAATGAAAGTGGCTTAAAGATATTCCCTGTGAAAACATACAGTTCTAAATGGTAAAATGATGTGGACCTACAATCCTACATACATAGCAGGCCTAACCTTCAACTCTAACTTGCAGCTACACACACACCAATATTACAGAAGATTTCATGAGTACCGTATTTGAGAAAATTACGACTTTCTTAGATAATCCAACGATGTAGGTACAACACGAGAACTACAAAACAAAAGACTCAATCCATAACCGATAATAAATAAATTTACTAATCTCGACTAACTTCTTCGTGGGACCAACTCTCGGCGTTCACCACTTCACCATGACCATCCCTTCACCATGACCATCCCTTCACCATGACCATCCCTTCACCATGACCATCCCTTCACCATGACCATCCCTTCACCATGACCCTTCACCATGACCAGCTCACGTGCACCACCGGGAAGTCCCACTCGTCAGGGTGGCCGTAGTGCGCCGTGTTGTTGCCGTAGTCCGAGGTACTCCAGCGGAACACGGGCAGGTTGTCGTGGGCCGGTCCGTTGACGGCGAGATATTGCATCTCAGAAAACAGCGCAGACGAAGTCACCTTCATGTCAGTGCCAGCATGGGACCGATGACCAAGAGCACCAAAGGGGTACGTTCCATTCGAGGGGTTGAGGTCATTCCGAGCAGAGATTGCGTTCTCGCCGCTATAGGGCGGATCGCAGTCGCACTTAGATAGAGGGTCGTTCTTGAAGTCGTTGTAGCGCATGAGGCTTATCATGCTGCCCAGATCTCGGACCTTAACATGGTCGCGTTTGAAGATAAGGGCGCGCGGGGTTTTGTCGTAAGAAAACCAGTCTCCGTACTGCTCAACCAGGGCAGGTTGGCCAGAGGCATTAAAAATCGAAGTGTAATACGGGACGTTGTAGCTCGCCCAGTAGCTGGTTTCTTGCAAATGTTGGGACTGGTCTCGGGCGACGATGAGACCTGGGATCTGTTCCAGAACCCACAATGTGCCGGGTCTGGGGACAATAAATACAGTCCCAAATAAGGTTTAAACTTGTTGGTCGTACAGATACGGGATCAGTTCTATGATAGAGATAACTGAAATTTCAAGACCGCCTGGAGGACAAGATTGGTCCTGCGACAAATATTTGCGAGTGCGTTTTAGTGCTAATTAAGAAAGTATGAAGCTCGGGACTTGTTCTGGTAGTCATAAGTCCTACTGAAAAATGGCTGAAATTTCGAGCTTCTAAAGAAATGAACGAAGAATAACGCCCAGCTCGATTTGACCGAGCAATTTTGATTGATTGGAGCTCGATCATTAGTAACTTAAGTTTAACAAAACGCCATGTATATAATTACTTCATCATATCGTCAATCATTCACAACCTGTACGTAATTCATCAACAAATTATAACCAATTGATAAATGATAACCATCTGAGATTAAATAAATAACCATTCAAGCAACTCTTTAATGACATCACTTAATAACGAGTCAGAACATGACTAACTTGACGACTTTGTTTGGCAAGAAGCGCTTGTAGTCGACCACCATCCACTGGTTGTTGTAGGTGCCGCTGTTGTGGCGACGGAAGATCTTCGTCCAGCTCTTGCCGTCCACCGCCAGCCTGTTGGCCACCAGCACGCGGATCCATTCCTGGATCTGCAGTAAAAGATAACGAGAATATTGCTACCACGTGGAGTTTATTTTACGGTATAAAACTAATCGTAAACACAGGTATAATTTCAATGATTTGAGTACGGAAAACCGATTATAATTCATGGATATTGAAGGCGGTAAGCCGATGATACATTCCCAGGGTAATAATATAAATACATAACAATTATTTGAGATGAAAAGCCGATGATATATATATTACCACGATGGGCAAATTATTTATTTATCAATAATAAAGGTGGAAGCTGTTATTATAATACCACGATAAAAACCGGAATAAAACGTTGAGATTTAAGACGGAAAAGAATTTCTATGAAAAGTACAAGAATCTTTTATACTGAAGGCAAACCGATGTAAAACAATTATCAGAATTAACATCCTTCTTGTAAATTAACTTCAGGAAAGAAGTGGAATGACAGACTGATGAACATATTTTTATTAATATGATTATAGTTTTATTTCAATACAACTATAATGATAGCTTACAAGCCAATGACATATCAAAATGATAGGGCCATAACAAGACTATATTGAAACGACTGCATTTGTAAATTCAATATATGTACTTTTAATGGAAGTAACTATCAGATGACTAAACTAAATGTCTTCATCTCACAAAAGCGATAGCGGTAATAATACAATTTACTAAAAGCTCTAAACCATTGTGAGAAGCAGAATTTTCTCGCGCTCCGTAGCTCGAAGTAAATCTTCAAGTGATGGCGTTCATCATCATCAGCTGAATAGCATTGCATTAATTACCCAATCAATTTTTCTTACTTGATACCTGACAGTCTTTCTGTCAAAATGGTGCTACAGCCAAACAATTTAGACATGCTATATTCCAGGAGTATCTCTACTGCCCTAGCGTTCATCAGCCCCCACTATATGCGGTGGTAATTCAGTGCTTTGCTATTAGAAATACATACCTAACGGGTTTATTACGGTGCGAACACCCGCTGCTTAGTGACCGTAAAGGAGTTATCGTAACTTATTGTATCGTAACTATCATATTTATTTAGTAGAAAGCGCCTCGATAACACGGTCACTGCAGCTTCGGATACTACACCATTACTATGTTACGCAGATTTTAGTCACCTCGCCCTGAGGCTGGATGTTGCTCCAGAGGGCGGGGTTGCTGTTGCCGATGGTGGTCTCCATGCTGAGCAGACCGGAGGAGAGGAGGTAGAAGTCGTCGGCGGAGTGCAGGATGCCGGGGTAGGATGAGAACGCCGCGGTGTGGCCGGGCACGCGTGCTACGCCCTGCTTGAACTTCTCAGGCTGGAATGGCAGGATGTATCTTTTCTGCATGCGCAGCATCGACTGCAATCTGCAAGGAATGCGATGGAAAGTAGAATTTTACCGAGTTAAGATTAGGGATTCAGTAGCTCTTGCATATAGTCAGAGACAGATTCTTTTTTCGAGTATTTAATTACAATTTTAAACCCAATGACGGGGACGACTATATTTCCCTCATCAACTGAATGCAAGCAAATATATTTTGTCCCACAATACACTGAATTTAATCGAGCCTCACGAGTTCCAGGTGACGTGCGAGGCGAAGAGGTCGGTGTTGCCAGGCAGGAGCTTGACGAGGGCCGAGCAGTGGCCGTCGCCCCGCACCACGCGGCTGCTGTTGTCCTGCTTCAGCGCGCTCTCCAGGTCCTCCAGGTCACCGCTCATGTTCATCCAACTGCCGGTTCAAAGCAATTATTTGTAGGTACAATAATTATTGAGCTATGAAGTCCAATAGTTTCCAATACTAAGTAGAATGAATAACTGATGAATAAATAATGCACGTCAGTAGGTAATCCAGTTCCATTCAACAGCTCAGTAGTGAATGATTTCGACTCGTTGCATCGGAAAGATATTCGTAGTGATAAATCAAATTTGCAGTGAAATCAAATATAATTAATATTCTCAGTGAAATCAAATCTAGTTGAGATTCTACAGATCTCCGATAATCTTAAACATAAAGATGCTCGCTGAATACACGCATTATAACACCACAAGCGGGCGATGAAACCGCCATATCATTGCTCGATCCTTCTTCCTGAATTTGTTCACCCAAGAACGAGTTCACGCACCTCTGGTTATTCACACGGTTTCAGTTTTGAAACACTTGAAGAAATACTCAACCTAGGTCAGTTGTTCCTAAGCATCATTCGTAACCTGATCCTGCTGTTTTTTTTAACAACATTTAAGAAGCGCTTTCGGGTCAGGCACGCCTCAACACGACTTATAGAACATGTTATCTTCCATCGCTTCATCGCATGTATTACCAAAGTAATTTCGCTTGAAAAGCTACAAAACAGACGTCTAGAATTTCGTTGGATGCGCCAACAAAACTTCAACATTGGATGCCAACAGCCACGCGGGTGGATGACTCACAGGATGTCCTCGGATGGAATGTCGCCCTCGGTGTTGTGCTTAGCGTAGCCGTCCATGAGGCCCTGCAGCTGCCGCAGCACGAGGCCTGCCTGCACACAAACTCTTGCAATTGTTACGATAATTCGGCATCAATTTGTCTAGAATGACGTGATTTCGTTCATCCAACGCCCAAAAAATTTACCAGATTTCCTCAGTTATCAGAAAAACTGATTAACATGACATTATAAATAAAAATGATGATGGAAGAACCTTGCACGAATACTCGAAAGTAAGCATTTTTTTCAAGTCAATACAATAACATTATCAACGGTAGGTGGTAATACCACACAGTTCGTTTAGTACTCTAATTAATGAAACTTGACTGTGCCCTGGTTGTAATAAAGATATTAGGGAAGATTTATATACAGACTGGTTTCTGGTTCAGTAATGCACGTTCGAACCTTTAAATACTGAACAATAGTTCAGAAACTTCGATTCGATTACAATAGAAAATGTCAACTCGAGCTCAAATATTACCTGGTACCAGAGAGGATCATCGGCAGAGTGCTTTTTTATCATCGAAAGCATCCACTTGAAGTTTATCTTGACGAACTCGCGGAGTTTGACGCAATATTCCTCGCCCTGCCAGTCACAGTAGCCCTTCATCGTGTTCCTGGTAAACCAACCGAGGAAACGTTCTATTATTCTTCTTAATGCAGTTCCATTACTGTGAAGTGACTAAGTTCGTGTCTCGTGTCTAACTCTAATCGTTGAACATTTACGATTGACCGTCATTTGTAAGGGCAAATACGACTTGGGTTTATAGTAGCGATTATGATCTATGGTGTACATATATAATTTTTCATTTTCAAATCGCCCATCATTTTAAGACTCATTTCTCCCTGTAAGGGCTGACCTGAAGCTTGGAAAGTATAGAAAGTATAGACAGTCATTGCGTGTCTTACCTTCATTCACAGTAAGTCATTCTAAAACAGATACAACCTACAATACAACCGAAGTTGGGTGACCAGGCTTAGCAACCATTACCACCAGCTGCTGTAGAACCAACATCTGCAACCAACCTCATAACCAAAGTTATGTGACTATATTATATATACTCTCATGTAGGCAAGGCAAGCATTACAGCCAGGTTTTGTAGAACCAACATCTCCTGCAACCAACATCATAACCGAAGTTGTGCGACTATATTATAAATACTCTTATACAACCTAATACAGACAACGCAAGCGTTACCGCCAGCTGTTGTAGATGATGGCATGGGAGGCCGCGGCCTCCAGGTAGCCGGCGCTGTAGGCCTGCACGCTGTCACTCGCCACCGGTCGCGTCTCCAGCTCCAGGAACGCCCACCTGCATATATTGACTTATAGGCCTTTTCTGCGCATTTTCTCATTTATGGAAAAAATGCACTATTGTGCTCGCCATGTCAGTCTGTCTGTCCGTCCGTCTGTCCATGACGTCAAGTTTTCGTCGACGAAAAAAAGCGCTCTCTGTCACTCACTGCAGTGAGTACTGAGTTCTATTTTATGCCTTTTTTGTTCGCGGACTTGGCCATTTTTTAATGTCGACGGTATCAGTACTACCGCCCCTCGTGGCACCATGAGACATGCAGACATGATGTCGCAAATCAATGTTAGGTTATTATTGCCCATGTGTTGTATAGTGCGTGGTGCTGACAGGACAACACAAGTCTCAGTTGCGTTTTGACTGCCAGTGTTGTAATCGAGGGTTAAGAATATAACAAGCTTCAATAAAGTTATAAAACAGCCCTCATCCTCAGCGATGATTGAGAAATATCACAATATGCAGATGCAACCTAAACGTGCCCTCTTTGCAATGAAAAAATCAAACATAATGAAGGAAATACAAAAATTCTTACAGTAATACCGCCACTTTCTGTCCATTACATGTAAGACCACTATCAAAATAGTGAATAAAATAAGAAAAATACAACACTATAGAAAATACTTGCAAATTATTAAAAATAATTCATATGAATAAATAAAAAATTTATGATTATTTATCCTGAATGATTTAGATTATTAATGTGTGAATCGTGGATAAAAAGCGACAGTAAATAATATATAATCTAGTTTAGACGTCAACAATTTCAACAGCCACTGCGATGAGTCAAGACTACGCCACGTTCACTCACCCGTTAGTGAAAGTCAGCCATTTCAACAGCCACTGCGATGAGTCAAGACTACGTCACGTTCACTCACCCGTTAGAGAAAGTCAGCCATTTCAACAGCCACTGCGATGAGTCAAGACTACGTCACGTTCACTCACCCGTTAGTGAAAGTCAGCCATTTCAACAGCCACCGCGATGAATCAAGACTACGTCACGTTCACTCACCCGTTAGTGAAAGTTTCATCGGAGTAATTAGTTCTGGCGATCCAGTTGTCTGCAAGTCCGTCGTGTAGCTGCAAAGTAACCTCGGTGTTGCCTTCCAGCGGGTCATCCTGCAGCGTCACGCTCATCACGCGGCATAGCGCCGGCGTCACGAGGCACGCGAGTAACGCTACCGCTAACGTCTTCATCGTATATTTCTAAGTTATTATACGCGGGGAATAATGATATCTAAACAAAAGTGTGGCAGGGTAAATGGAAGAAAAATCATTGGTGCAGCGAAGAGGTCAACATACGAAAGCGACATCAACGAAATGATACAATTCTTGACGTGACACGAAATTAATACGGAAGGAGAAATGTTCCGAGGCAGTTTCTTCGAAGGGACATGCCTTCCACATGCAGGTCAGAATAATGAACAATTACAACCAAACGCCTTCATAAATATCAGACTAAGGTCGAGTAGAGCTGCTCATATAAACGACCTCGCCAGGAATAAAGAAGAAACATAATACTGCTCTGAGTAATTAATTCTTATCGCTGGACTTGTGCTCGGGAAGCCCAGGGGTCGCACGGTCGTCCCTTAGACGTCCCTCGGCGTCCTTCCCTCCCTTGACCAAGCGCTGGCAATGAGCTCATGACGCAAGGCTGGCTACTTCTTATTGATATTTGCCGGAAATATGTTTCCTCAATTGCATTTGGCGGAAGGAAAGAAAAAAATTCTTAAATCACTATTAAATCCAACGAATGATGTAAGTGATAATGGTCGCGATAGCAGTGATATTTGAGAAGAGTTATGAACTTTTCCTGCAGCAACGCGGCCATCAGCGGAGGGAGGGGCGGGGGAGGGCCGTCTCCCAGGGGCATGCAAGGCAACACTTGTAAATCTGGCTGAGTTCTCTTCACTCAATCGGCGTGATATTAAACACAACATTCATTATTCAAATGATTATATCTAATACATGTTATAAATGATAAATATATACGGTAATGTGTTGCAATGTCCTTTAAACGAATGCAAACTTTTGGAGAAATAGTAGACCAATTGTTTTATGAAGTACCGAGATATATTAATGGAGCCTGTTTAATCCGTGACATTCAACGCTACATTTTTATTAAATACTTCAAATGTGACGAACACAATAGAGATGAAAGTAAAACAGGATCCCAACAAATGAACGCCCTTCTATTCTACCTTGGTAGTTATATAAACATAGGTCAAAATAATTGAAATGTTAAGCAATCAGAATAAACTTATCGGTCATTTACATATAAATAAATAGGAATTCTCGAACGTCCTATTCAGCACTAACGAAGCATTGTCAAATCCCAGCAACAATGGCAATGACGTGTTAGAATTGGACTACGTATCCAAAAATTGGTCCCAAGTAGATTGGATGGCAACATAGGAGATCGAAAATTCGAAATATAAAGCAATCAAAATAAATTTATGTTATTTTATATGAAAATAAAAATGAATCACCATCGCACCAAAAGAGAAGAATACAAACATTAACGGGATAATTAGTGAATATAAAATTCAATCACAAAATAAAGGAAACTTTCTATGGTTATTCTGCTGCATCTCTTTCCATCAATTGGCGGCAATTAGGTATAGGTAACGATTCCGCATGGGTAACAAGTTACTGTTGAATTATCAAGCAGCTCCGGCGAAGACATCAATAAGGAATGCAATTAGGCGCTGTATCAGTGCGTGTGATAATTGGCCTTAAAATAAAGTGGTGAATAACAAGGTAATTAAAGACAATCACTGGCCCTCACAAAGTTAATTCATTACGAAAATCAAATAATAAATAAGCAAACATAAGATACAACGCCAGGAGTTACGAACGGTGCCTGTAGGATGTATTCAAAACTACAACCTCCATACATAAGGACTCAATCCACCATAACCACAGAAACACACAACATGGAAACCACGGCGGGATATAAATAGTTAAAAATACAAGAATATTCCACGACAGTTATTTGAGACAGCTTATCTTCTACATATATCAGCTACAGAGTCTAAATCTCAATAAAATACACTAACAATATTTAGTGCCTTGAGCCCTAGATTCAACCTACAGCCACGAACAATCGGAATAAGGCACAAATGGGGCGATGCTTATCTAAATACTCAGGAAAAGCCAAAAACCTTTCAATCGCATGTACTTCAGCTACGCTAGTTGACGTACATTTCAAATTTCACGTACGTAGGTACAAATTTCAAACTCAAACGATCTTTCGACATCCGTCTCCAACTTTCGACAGCCGTTTTCATGACACATGACCCTCAACAAACTGTGCAAATACAATGTTAACCATCATTTCGAGCCAATTAACCACAACCTGTTCCAGAAAAAAATGCGATTAAGCCCCTGTCCAACTTTGGGTCTTGGTGTTCGACAAGCCGTAAGATGGTCGACAGCACAGGTCTAGCAGAGCCGTCCGACCGCCCCTGCTTGGCCCTCAACCGAAAAGGCAGCAAATGAGGAACAATTTCAAGTTTTCATAGGCAATATTTTTTGCTTCATTTTCGGCATCCAGGATATTGAGGCAAACTGGCATGATTCCGTCATAGATAAGACTTCGAAATGCCACGATACTTAGACTTTATGTTAACAGGTTAAAAACATAGTTAAGGCACCAGAAACTAAATTCATACATTTGATTACTATTTTCGTACATTCCAAAGAAATATTTTTTTAATAATGCGCTAAACACCAATCATAAGGAAGATGAAAAATTTATTTACGAGTGCATTAAGCGTAATAAACGTAGTAAATTTCATGAGTTGGCGTCAAGTTAAAGAGACTTGAGTAGCTGCTCGGCCTCTTTAGCAGCATTCTGGTCGTCGCGCGAAGGCTGAGGCAGCGCCTTGACGAGGTCTAGGGCGCGCTGCAGGTAGAGGGCGGCCTGCTGTCTGTCCTGTAGCTGCGCGTAGCACTTGCCGATCATCAACAAGTTCTGACTGCACACGTACATTTACCAAAACAAAATTAGTTGACTTGACAAATCGACAACTTGATAAATGATCATTTATGAATCAGAATGAAGCTGCAAATCAGATGTCCATTTTAATATATTTAGATATCGCAATTAACAAGTGGCTGAACCTTTAAAGGTTGTAGAATTACTAATATTCAAGGAGCTTTGATCGAACATTCGAATCGACCGAGCAATAGGCGACCATTTAAAGAATCAGTGTGGATATTATTCACCAATTCATAAATCACCCTTTTTTAATTTAATAATAAATTCCTTATGAAGGATTAACTGAATATCAAAGAGGATAATTTCAAGATTGTAATATGAAAGAAGAAATTATAACAACAAGAAATTCGTTTCAATCCATCACAGAGCGAGTATAAATTTTATGAAAACATTAAAGAACGCCATCTTGAAATTAATTCGAATGGATAAAAATCTCCTTTTCTGGAGCGAACGAAGCTGGCCTCAGACTAAGGTTCCAATGGATTGCAACCTGCGCCTAGAACAGAAGTCTAAACAATGAGAAACTCGTATCAACGTTGGCCGTTTAGACACACACTATCTGAAGGAAGAGATAAGCAGCTACCGCGTAAATTTTCGAGACGTTGTTTAGGCTTATTATTTTAACTCTAATTGATATCGTCTCAGAATCGAAGCTCAAAGTACTCAATGTCTCTATGAAGCAAATTTTAATGAATACAACCTCTGCGCATGTTACTGGCACGCGATATTCCGTACAGAGACGATACCTATTGAAATAACTAAAACATTAATCTGCAAAAGCTGAAAATCTGAACAGTGTTCATGCAAATTATTATGCGTAATTTCCCTGGCCGCAACGCCAGTGGGGAATTACACTGCTATCAGCTAGTAGGCCTATTGTGGCGCGTTTACACGCGCGAGTCCACAATGTGTAACTCGGGAAGAGGTTTCTGTTCGAATAATGCTGGGGCCCACGAAATCGTTTGTCGAGAAATACAAACTCAATGTCGTAAAAGAAGAAGATTAGAGTTTTAAGAGGATTTAAAGTTGGTTGACATAAAGTTCCAACTAAATTATTTTTCAACCGGACAAAGTTCCTTCTTCAAGAAATGAAAACAAACTCGTTGAAAAAGTACAAACTAAGAAAAAGGGCATGCTTGTAGTGTTGAAATATCTTCTGCTCTGATATATAAACTCTTTTTACAGCGATGCTAAGTTGACAGTAAACATGATAATTCGTACCATCTTCTCGTAAACATATGTTTAAAAAGTGTTAGCCTAAAGCTATCGATTGATTACATCAGTAGCGATTGATTGAACAAACTAGCGATTGATTGCAGCAAGTACAACCGCCAGAGCAAGTTCTACCATTGTTTGAAGTGTAGTGGATGGCTTCTCCAAAGAAACGCATTTTTGACACTCCTGTTAAGTTAACATGATTCAGGTCCCTTCACACCTGAACCACTAACTCATATTGAAGAGGGTTCGATCACATCGAGAAGTGAGAGCTGCTCGCTCAGTTTCGCCACTAATCAACCTAATACTAAATACTAGGTAGGCGTGACCTGTTTGACCAACGCCAATACATACTAGGTAAATTAAGTTGAAACAACGTTGGGCACGAGTTAATTTCGTTGAAACGATGTTTAATTAACGTTTGATGCTTGATCTGATATAACCTCTCGCAAACGACTCCCACCTGTAGAAGGAAGGCGCTACTTCCTCTGCGTGCAAGAAGACGTCAAGAGCCTCCTGGTAAGTGGACGTGGGGGGCGTCGCGAACAACACCGCCGCAACCTTACGTTGGTACCAAGGGATGGCTGCGATGTTATAGTGCCTATAATGTAGAGCAATTATTTATTGCTCCATTTACTAACCTTACATACATTAAGCATGGATTTACGTGGATAATTTAAAAGTCTGAGTCGTGCAGTGATGTTGATGAAAAATTAGAGCAAAGTGCTTGTGATGATCTCCACGATCGGCTGAATTTCGAGTCACAATGGAGGAATCTCGATAGTGATGACTGAATCATGATTATAACCGCATTCAAAATCACTAGCTAACTACTTGGCAATAAAGAGCAACTGAGCTTGGCGCTAAATAACAAATGACTGATCAGAATAAACTGTTTTGATAAGCGTTTCTTGATAGTTCCAGGGATAAGGTATCGTATACGGTCGCTACTCAAAGCTGATAATGTGCACTAGAGTGCACGATTAATACAATAAATGTTAGCGATTTTGTCCGGTGTAAACCTGGCTTCTCAATATAATCATTATAATTGTATGCAATTGGACGTAATATTCACTTGACCTGAAGAGATTGATGACATGAGTCATCATCTGGAAGACACGTGATAATCAAGCGATCAAGACCTTAGTTGTGGGCGGAAGCGAATGTTATACCGTACAAGGGCTAGCAACCTTAATTAAGTACCGGTAAGGCCCTCTGCAGTAGTTATAAGCACTCCGCGATGTAACGTGTCGGTTGAGGTCTCCGACCTTACGGTCGCCGCCGTAGCTTACACCTCTGTATCGTAATGTATAACCACCCCGTACATAAGATAAGTTATCTAGACACCTGTGTCTTACTTATCCTTCACGACCTTAGTCACGTAACTCGATCCTCAGGTAGAACTTAATATCTGAGCTAGACAATTTCGTCGATTAATAGTCGACAAAGTTGCGGACGACGTTATATAAGGACTGATAAAGATGGATAATGCAAATGGTATCGATTGACGAGATCAATGATACGATTGATGAGAACAGAGATATGATGGATAATGATACGATTTATATCACAAACTGTAATTGATAAAATTGTGAATGCTGTTGATAATAGTGCTTTGTTGCGTTACCGAGCCTGAGCTGCTACTACGTTTCAAACAGAATTGAACGTAAACCCGCACATGGTTAACTATCACTGATCTAGGTGATAGAACAAGATCGAGCATTTCCAGCTCAAGCATCAGAACGTTAATGAAACTCAGGGATCTGTGCTATTCTAAACCAGGTATAGGTGTGCCAGACGTCCTGGGCAGTCTCCGTTGGTTGAAGCGTATAAATTATGACTCCTTTTTCGGTGATATTTAGGAGAATAGCAAGATGAAAACATCATGTGGTAGACTATAGTTTAGGGTAAATTCAAAGAACAACGCTCCGCTCCGCTTCCGGGTTGCCGGCATTAAAGCAGTTATGTCCTCAGGTCGGAGTCAGCCAAAAGCAAGTCATGCCATTAGTGTGGCAAAGTCTGAAAAGCCCAATGATGATGATACGCGAACATTAACTCGTACCAGTAAGGAAGAATTACGCGTACCAACGACGGAGGGCGAGGAAGCAAGGGACAAAGAATGTCCCTTGCCTTTAACCAACTAACAAAATCTCGAAGGCTAAAATTAGAGACAACAGAACCGGACTCGTGCAAACACGAGTTAAATCCGTCCAAGATCGACAATTATTCATCGACCACGAATTAAATCCGTCAAACATCGAGAAAGATTCAACGATCACGACTAAGATCCGAAAAATCTCGCGACGAGATTAGCGACGTCCGATAAAATACAGGACTAACAGATTCAACGATCAACCTAGAGAAGAGTCTAAGTTTGCGCATACTAGTTATCGAGGGGCCACAAGACTACCCGCGTGGAAGACCAGCCAAGATACAATATTTCCTGCTCTCAGATTCTCCTCCGCGTTCCTCGTAGCGAAACGGTGATAGTACTGCACTAGGAGTTCTTATTAACTGTAGATCTTCCTCCGCTCGCTCAAGCAAGAACGGGTGACATTGACGTGTCTGTAATCGCCTTCTAGGCTGTCAATAAGTACCTACCTATGTCTGCTAATCCTTACCGCGCTTCTCTAACCTCCAACTGTTAACAGACACACAACAGCTGGAGCCTTTCCACAACCTGACACTTCTCACGGAATAGGACCGAAGTAACGATTTATAATTAACGTTATAATATAGAAAGCAAAGAACATTTCTTTCTGATCACTAAGGTGATGGATGAAAATCAGAAAAGATCAAACTGGAATAGAATATTCTTGACCCTCTATTTATAGTCGCATTTGCACTAGATGAAGTAAATTATTTTGCTTCTGCAATAAAATTTTATACTCAAGTTGAACATTTGACACGCAAGACAAGGCACTTTGTAATACACAAAGTACGGAACACGGTAGATAAGGTTAGAATACAGTCACGGTAGCTACTGGTAGACTAGGCTATAACAAAATTACCATGTTGCACCCTAAAACTGACAGCCCTGGGTACCAGACTGTTCATGTTAACAGCGGGCAATCATCTAACTATGGCTTTTGCCGCGACCTCCACGACTAGCCGCAGCTGATCGCGCAGCTAAAGTTCCTAACGCAATGTATCAGATGTGGCTACTCAATGCGTGCTATCCGGAAAATTTTATAACTGGAAGTAATCCAAGAAAATCTATGCAAATCAAATCCTACTAGTAAATAAATACCAGTTAATTTGGGAACGATAGTTTCTTGTCGTTCACAATTGAGATAATGAATATACTGTATAAAATAACACTTACCACATGCCCAAGAGGTACCAAGATGTCCCATCTTTTGGGTTCAACTCGCACGCTTTCTGTAAAAAAATTATTGATTATTTTACTAGTACACCGCATCTTGGTATATACCGTAAATTGATAAGAAATCCAGCGCTCTGATTCAAGTGCTCCATGCCTGACACTGAAGTTTAGATCACGATTCTTGCTAAGTCCTAGAAAGCATTGGGCCACAACTTTCCTAGTCTCTTCACTGGCAAGCTTCACCGTAAGAAATGCGCGAGAATCGAGTGCTGACAAACCCAATGCGTTCAATAATTCTTCAAATTTATAGTTGGTAAATGTTCACATAGGAAAATTACTAAACAATCCCGACAAGACTAAGTTAACTATGGAAAACCACACCCATGACCAAAATATATATACACTACCTTAATTGTTTCATCATATAGGAGCACTGAACAATAAAAATTATAACTTGCAAGCACAACTGCGCCTATATTCCTTCACCTGCACACACGCTTCATCTCCCTAACCTGCACACACGCTTCATCTCCCTAACCTGCACACACTCCCGCAACAGGGCACCGGCGCGCTGGGCATCAGGCGACGCCTTCGCCAGCTCGTAGAGCGCCCGCGCCAGCCTCCACAGCACCTCGTCGTCCCCGCCCGCCTGCCGTGGCATCAACATTGTGTAACGTTTGCGTACGAATATTAAGCTAATTATTGACGCTAATGCCTTGCCGATGATGCATGTGACTGCAGAATGCATTTCAGTTGTTCGATTACGCTGGTTAAATTATGTTAATTGACATAATCTTTCTAGAAGAGGGTGAACTTAACTTCGTTGGTGCCTCTAACTTACCAGGTCGTTCATAACATAACATAGTATTGTCGGTACTGATGAATAGGCATGATGTTGACTGTCGCCGATTCATGTGATTTTAGTGACTTGTTCAAATGAGATCTAAAAAATGGTCCATTGACCAGATCTATCAAAACTGACGTTAGTTTGAAAACGCTAATAGACTTCTGCTAGGTCCGTATATATAGGGTATTAGGAATTCTAAGTCGGCTGGGGAAGCGAGAAAGGCTCATCGTAATCACAATTCAACTGACGCAATGACTGAAGAAAAACTACATACGACAGAATAATGGAAGAAAATTCGGTAAGTATAAAATTTCAAAGTCAGGAATTCACCGAAACTGAGCGAAGGGATAATGAACGGTCACAAATCACCGGATGATCAAAACACTAAATCTATTACCTTGAGCGGCTCGAGCAGGTCGTGGATGGCGGTAAAGTCGCCGCGGTCGTAGAAACGATCAGCGTCTTGGATGACCTCAGCTCTGCTGCCGCTCGCGAAGACCACAGCAGACCCCGCCATGATCAGCGATCCTGCCACCACGGATCCTCCTCGAGCGATCTTCGAGGTAAATTTGTTCATTTGTTCTAATTATGCTAACTTAATATAATAATACACGTAGAAATAACTTCCTATTATATGTATAATTGCTAAGAAATGTGGGAAATATTTTCGTAGAATTTAGAGGTGAATTATCCAGTGCAAGTGTATGCTATAATAATAATATAAATGAAAACATCGAGAAAATGACACGGAATCAACAATTTTAACTCATTAAAAAAAACATTCGCCTTGAATTTAATTTTTCCATAGGAACAATAACCTCGTAACTACAGGGTAGATATACTTGCCCACTTGAGAGCGACGCTTGCAGGACGCGCGACAGTCGTGTGGGAGTGTGCGCGGTACGCCGGCCTACGAAGACGCGCGTTATGTTTGCAAGTGTACCGCGCTGCTGCGCTCACTGATCGCAACATCGCTTACAGTTCTGGCAAGATATGCGACGAGGACGGGTATCTGAGGCGATATCGATCTGAACCAACCGCAATACCGCGTTCATTGATTCGTTATCAAATGCACTTATTCAGACTTATCAACGATTTACCGAAAAATGTCATGTGTTCATTTTCATAATTTTCCTCCAAATAAACTTGAAATATATGCACAAAAAATTTATGCGCTTATTTTGAAACTTTTACTCCCAACTAAACTTTGAATGTAAAGCCATTTGATTTTTGCTTAACAGTGAGTTAAGTTACCATTACTCGAAAATTGGATATAAAAATCCAATCATGCTGCGAGACAAGATTTCAATCCTGGATTTTAACAATAAACCAGGCAATAAATAAAAGCGCTCACTAATGAATGATGTTCGCAACAACATTAATGATGTTCGCAACAACATCAATGATGTTCGCAACAACATTAATGATGTTCGCAACAACATTCATCGCACTTGAGACCATTCAGCAACCTCGGACTATAGAGGAACTTTGGATTACACAGGGCCGGGGGGGCGTCCAGGTCCCCAGCAACAGCGTCACGAGCCGTTGCTCCTGCGGCATATGATCGACTTCAGTGGTTTTTGGTGACGACTAAACAATAGATTACGAAAAATTATATTACGCGGTTCATAAGGAGATAGAGCGTTTTTGGATAATCCGGGAGCGAGACGACTCAATGTATTGAAATATAATTTTGTTGGAAGGAGGCGTAGGAGTCCAGGGGACGCAATCCTTACGAGCCACTGCATGCATCAGGCGTATGACGCTACAAAAAACATAGTAATATAATCATGGAGTGACGCGTTGGGTGATTTAATTGGTGAGAAACGGACAAGTCGAGACACGTAATTAGCTTACTCAATAAGAAGGGAAATGAAATAGGCAAGAGCATATTAGTCGCAGATAAAACGCTGTCAATTTTTATTTAGCACATAAAAATACACACGAACTATTCAAAGGACTTTATATTGAGCGAGGAGATTCAATACTGAACATTCTCCGCCATGGGAAACATCAGGCAATACTGACTCGTCCTGCACCATTCAATAAACTTATTGAGAAAATATTCCCATATTCTGGGCCTACGCATTAAATTACTGAATGTCGTCTTTCAGTGGACACAACAAACAAAGAAATCGTCGAAATATTTTTGTTCATAAACAAATTTTACGAAAAACAACGCGATTTACACGTTCAAAAGAAAGAAACAAGAACAGATTCGGAGCACAGTGGATAGGGCAAAAAGAAAACTGATCAATCCTAGAGTACCTACAGGAGAAGAATGGCTAGAAAATATCCTATCACATTCTCATCCATTTAAAACATTAGCGGCAAATCAGCTGTCCCTAAATAAGCATGCATTTGACTGTAACATTGAAGGTTACATAGACACTCTAAATGCGGTATGCGATAACAAGATATACTCAGTAATAAGATTTGAACAACAGCGTACAACTAATGCCATCATAAAAGCAACAATACATCGTTAGTCATAGATAATAGATTAGTTTATACAGCGACGAGACATCCAAGTCTACTTTTTTTGTAGTATTTGCCCCCAGTAACATCAGAGCTTTGAAGAACGAACCACAATGTTAATAACCTTTAAAAAACCAACACGGATCTCACGAGCTAATATGCCAAAAACCTCAAAAAAATAATATCACTGCCTCAGATCAAAGAAATTTGAGTCATGTCAATCAAAATTAGTTATGTTCGTCACATGGCACCCAATAGTTGGTTAGCCTCAAGCACCAGTCCAGCTATCAACCTCCTGTCATTTCGTCCACCGCAGCTCGCTCGAGACAAGCTAAGTTTATGACGCTACAATTTCCTGTACACGGCCAAGATCTCGTGTCGTGTAAACGAGATAACGTGGCGCTCGCTGGTTAAATTAATAAATATTTGTAGGGTGTATTTCGCTGCGCAAGAGTGTACAAATATTATCCTTCACTCCACTGATGTTAAAGACTTTTTCAATTCGAATACTCTTCCTATCGATCCAAAATTAGATAAAGATATTCCCTATGAGCATCTTATAACATAATCGCAGCGTAATTAATCCCAAAATATCCTATACTGTGGAGGACAAAACGTATATTAGCAAGCAGCAATCATATGAGGTTATTTATGTTTAAAATATATACCAGCGATCAAATTTTCGTTGTTCTGATAATAATTTGCTCGTTGATTACAAAGTGGCGATATTTCGTTTATTTCGATGATTTGGAACAGGCAGAAGTAGCTTTTCAATTCACTGTTCGAACAATGACTTTCCGAGAAACAAAATTAAACAATTTTTCAACATTGAGAAAGCTCACAAATTATTACCAACAGGCAACAGCGCCATCGTTAATATTACCATTGAATTCCTTAAGAACAAAGTAGGGCTGAACCAGCATACGATTATATAATTTGCTGTAATGAAATTTGATTCACCAAGAATTTCCGTCACGATAAGATAGACTAATAACAAAGACGGAATAACTGAGGTCATTATGATACAACCAAGCCGGGTTCACTCTAGGGACCAGGCAGAAGCATCACTTGAGCAGTCCATCGTCAGTTCTACTATTTTTTCATTCTACATTGATATCTATGTTAAACACGAATTCGTAAAGTGACATTATGCAGGTTTCGTGGACATCGTTATCCTTGCCAACTGAAGTGTAATGATGTAAAGAATGGATCAAATAATATTACAACAACATGTAAAATTATCAGGTCCACGCATTTAAATGCATCTACGTTTATCAAAATGTTCATACAACAAATGTCCGTTTTCGCGTTGAACAGCGTGGGTGCTTGCGTTTATTACGTTGTCTCCATGTAAACAAGACGACGCTCAACGACGCTTATAAGTTACTGGCGCGCTTAATTGAGGCATTCATGGACCACGATACAAACTCGAGACAGGTGGCCATGTCAACTCGTGATAATTTCAGCGAATAGATTATAATTTACTAGTATTCTAAACCCATTTTGGACCATGACATGAAAATTGAACACGAATATTACCGAGAAACATTATAGACATACACTCTTTATGCTTCTCGTGTTCCTGATTTCGGCAAGTGAGTTCAGGACTGTGATTGCAGTCACCCGCATTCATCAGATATAAGATATGTACATCGAATGGCAAGATACGCAACAATCGTTGCGAGAAGTAAACTCAATCACACGGAAACAATCTCTAAAAACCATATAAAATTGCTATATTACAGAAAAATACTGAGTTAGAAAGCCACGTACAGGCTATTTTTACATGAAACCTAACATTTTTTGTCAAAGTTCGAAAAAAAATATTAAGTTACGCAAAGCGAATAAAATCAAATCCTCGCTGCGGTGGCAGAGTATACAGTGGGAAGATCAAAGCAAGAAAGTTACACAAGATCATACAACGTCAATTAGAGGACGACAACTAACATCAAATGCTAAAAACCTCCAACGAACTTGACGATAGCTAAATGTTATTAAGAAATTTTGTTACAATATTGACATGTATTACAGCACTGACACCTGCAAGAAGGAATGAACACACTGGCAATGTAGCACCATACAGAACTGCACAAAAGAGAAGAAAACGTACACGACCAGGGGAGTTATGCGAATAAATTGTTGTTAACAGCTAAGTATGTTGTGATAAATGGGATTTTTTGCAATAATCTTATCTTCAAAAATAAATGATAAATTTCTTCTTCAATAAAAGAGTAAAGTAGTAAGTGAAAGTGAAAATTCCAAACAAATGCAGCAATGGAAAATAACATCATTAGATCCTTGTCATAAACGCCAGCTATTAATATTATGACAGTAAAAGAGCTTATATTTGTTAAGTACACCTGAGTCATATGGAAGCCTATGGATCTAGTATTCGTACATACATAGTTGCGAGAAATTTATACGAATTAATGCCAAATATTCAGCACCGGCTCGAGAATTTACGACTTTATAATGGAAACTGACCTGATGAAGACAATTGTCCATATCATACAATAAGATGGTTACAAAATAACACGGACGACTCCAGAGTTCACAATAATTTTTTTGAATCGTTGATATCGATAGACCAGCGAAGATAATCCCGTAGTGCAATGAATAGTCAAATAAAATAAGTGATAACAACCAATTGTTCAACTATCCAGGGACCGATACTTGCTATGAATAATTGCTGCTAAATTCTTGCTATGAACCGTTTTGATCGTGGTAAATTTTACAAGTTACTACATGGTTTTTGTTCATTTCTGGTAGAAATATGATTCAAGGCGCTAAATATTGCATTCGCAAGCGCGATGACCAGAAGAAAAGCTCAAGCGAAAAAAATCAGCTTTAGGTAAACAATCAAAATCTGAACACACAAGAAAATACTTGAGAAAATACTTCCTTTGAACCAAAGAAAGACTAGAATAAGCAAACACGGAAGCACGTAAATAAAATGAAGGTAAACGCATCAACACACAGCTCGGTTTACATCACTGAACATTGAGCTCAAACACAAAACTTAAGCACGCGCAAAAAAATATGTACAAGCAGCTGGGGGTGACCACAACATTTCTTTGTGGACAATGACTGCCAAATCAACTTAAAATAAAGGAGAATCTACGAAATTTGAGTGAAGAATTCAACTGATCTTGCACGAAATCAAATAATTTCAGCAAACTAATTTAAACATCTGCAAATAGTGTTCATTTAAAACAAATGTGCTAGTGGTTACGAGCAGGATTTCAGGTCCTCATATTCGTTGATAGGAATTGAACAAACGAGATTCACATGATTCAGAACATAGGCTATCCTTGTACAGAAGAGCCCCTGCACGACGGACAATACTCTTTGTAATTAGGTATGAATATCATTAGAACATTAGTGATCATTAGGGAGAGATAAGACCCGTAAAAATGAACATAAATAATGATATAAAATATGGCACAGTAATAAACCCAAAAAAAGTCATAAATGGTACCAACAAAACTTATGCTTCATCCACGGTACAAACAATGACTGGCTGGGCTTTGTTATTCAATAACAAGATGACGTTAAAATTTTTATATATATTTTTTATTTTTAACTTAAATTCAAAGTTGCTAATGCAATGAAATCATGAGCCACACGGAGACTGTGGACCATCTTATCCAATCGTCTTGAACGTTAACAGAGAATTTGCATGTCATTTATACGATCCTATGAATACATTCGGTTTCAGTAATCGGACAAATTTCAACAAAATAAATTTTAACACACATTCACATTACATTACTTATTTATCCACGTAATGCATACCAGACAGAGAACATACGTCAAATCTCTCTGGAATTACCTTGAATTCAAGCAGCAAGAACAGGACCAGTTTCAGCATTGACTGAAGCCTAAAATTTTTTGGTAGATATTATTTATATGACATGTGGCATAAAAATAAATGTTAAATAAATAAAGACACACACCAGAAAAAAAAACAGACGGTAAATATGTAAATGCCTCACGTAAACTATCGGCAATTAGATTCGATGGAGAACGTTAAGATGAGAAGAAGTGCCTACAGTACCGGTATGGTGTGAACCAAGCCAGGCGCAGGCGTAGGAAGAGTCTTGGGTCATGAGAAAAGCGTGTATGTAGGAACCAAAGAGCAAGAAAAAATATTATTCAGTACTCACTGCAGTGAGTGACAGAGAGCGCATTTTCTCGTCGACGAAAACGTAAAGTCACGGACAGACAGACGGACGGACATGGCGAGCACAATAGCGCCTTTTTTCTATAAATGAGAAAATGCGCTTAAAGGAGAATTGAAGTTAGTGACACGAACAAGCGATACGAGCCTGTAACAAAGGTTTACAGAACATTGGGAATAGGTTAATTACAGTTAACAAAACAAGCAAAGTGTTTAGGTACGGAACGAAGCATCCGTCCAAATATTGAGAACTTTACTTTTGAATTTTAGTAGAATTAAATAAGCAAAGCTAAAAGAAAGTAAATCGTGCCATCTTGTATACCAGAACTATGGTTGAGGGAGATAATCAGGACTAGAAGCGTTTAGTGAAAAATGCACATGGAAATTCAGATGTGTGTGAATTTGTGTACATCAAAGAAAAAATCAATGGTAAGACTTTAATGTGCTACAACATGCAAGTCTGCGTGCATGGATACATTGGCTTGCAAATATGAGGAAACATCAAGATGACCGAATATCAATATTTTCAGACAGTGAAATATTGAAACAAAAAGATTTTAAGACACAAATTTGTCAAGAGACATAGCAACATTCATTAAGAAACATAAGATCCACGATAAAGGCTACAGCCTCGACGATGGAAAGGTATCTACCAGCGCTCATCTACCATCAGCTACCTCACGTATCTCACCAGCATATCTACCATCAGCTACCTCACGTATCTCTCAAGCGTTCCCCATTAAGTACTCATCAACAATTATCAGTACAATAAAAGAATCACTTACAGGTTCATAACCAAAAGTTCAGCTAGGAAAGCGTAAACAAAATTAAAAACACGGCAATCACCAGCAACTAACATAAATATCTCATTGCCTCATAATGATGAATAAATCGAACCTAAAATTATGAACTGCTCATTTTGAGACACAACATTTGATTATAGTTTGTGATGGCGAGGCCCTGCATGACCAAATTACCGTGATGGTGGCGTGGCTTAATGGCCTGTGAAGGGAGCTGACATTGTGAAAATAAACACAACTTTCTCCATAGGAGAAAGTCCCTTACGGAGTAAGGGACTAAAGGAGTTAAGCTCACGTTAACACATAATAAAGGTTCAAGTAATATGTGACAAGTCAGAGAACCCGATACTTCGGAGCCATTAAAGGCGACAAGAGCTGTTCCTTTGACACCCAACTGACACCATTGACGCTTTAATTTAACGTTGGCTCGCGTCCCATAGCGAAAATAAGAGTTGTGAGATGACGAAAGCTATTTCGGTTTCCGTTAGTTATGGCCCAGTTTGCGTGGCATGGAGGCACTTGCAGTTAATTGGTGGGTTGCAGGTCCAGGGAGGAGTTGGTCAGCCAGGAGGGAGGGGTGCGTCGCAGCTGCTGCAGGAGGCTCAGTAGGCGGGCGTTGTAGGGCGCGTAGTACTCCTGCACACGAGGAACAAACTCAGCGACACATGTTACAGTCTAGCACTTGCTGACATACTTGGATACAGACACATGTTACAGTCTAGCACTTGCTCACATACTTGGATACAGACACATGTTACAGTCTAGCACTTGCTCACATACTTGGATACAGACACATGTTACTGTCTAGCACTTGCTCACATAATTGGATTTACTACGGAATTATTAATTTACGAGATCTGTGCAGAACAACGTGATTCAATTCCTAGCTTCCCGTCTAGAAGAAAAAAGATATGTTATCTCCTACGTACATATATTTATTTGTTTTATTTGTGATATTTATCATAAATAAATTTATTTTATTCCACAATGACCATATACTGTAAATAAATTGAATTCATTGATACGCTTTCCTATGCCACTAAATCATAACAGATCGGTAATATCCAGGACCATAATAAATAGTTGCTTCAGCCGAGGATTACTCTCATTTTATTGTCGTTATTGAAATGCATCCGAAAATGTATACAAATTTTTCTTTCATCAGCGAAGATGCGTCTAGATAACTAACGTTTTAATTGACTACAAATTTAGATAAATTTACGTTTGAAGAAGGAAACAATAACTCGAGTGCTTGAAACTTCACAACGTAACTGCGCCAATAATTTACTTTTACAAATTGATTTCGTTCTAATTTTGGAAGGCATTAGCCGTCTGAATTTTGCGAGAAAGGTAATGTAACAATATGACGACTTATCGTTAGCCTCAGACAATCTGAAGTAAGTCGAGAGGAATGGTCTTACAAGTGTTTCAGATTATTCAGGGTAATTTTGAAGTAATCAGACATTCTGAACGCTTCGATTTCAGATCCTCAGCACGCCTTGTTGAGCTGGCAACTTTGCAGGATCGTTCCAGCAGAAAACCCACCAACATGTCATTAACAACAAACTGAAAGAAATGCTGGTGGATTATTACTGTATGTTTACCTGGAGCAGAGTAACGAACTGAGAAAGTTGATGGATTACAGCAAGTTTACCTGGAGCAGAGTAACGAACTGAGAAAGTTGATGGATTACAGCAAGATTACCTGGAGCAGAGTAACGAACTGAGAAAGTTGATGGATTACAGCAAGATNGCACACCTGATAAGCTTATCGTGTCCACACCAGCACACCTGATAAGCTTATCGTGTCCACACCAGCACACCTGATAAGCTTATCGTGTCCACACCAGCACACCTGATAAGCTTATCGTGTCCACACCAGCACACCTGATAAGCTTATCGTGTCCACACCAGCACACCTGATAAGCTTATCGTGTCCACACCAGCACACCTGATAAGCTTATCGTGTCCACACCAGCACACCTGATAAGCTTATCGTGTCCACACCAGCACACCTGATAAGCTTATCGTGTCCACACCAGCACACCTGATAAGCTTATCGTGTCCACACCAGCACACCTGATAAGCTTATCGTGTCCACACCAGCACACCTGATAAGCTTATCGTGTCCACACCAGCACACCTGATAAGCTTATCGTGTCCACACCAGCACACCTGATAAGCTTATCGTGTCCACACCAGCACACCTGATAAGCTCATCGTGTCCACACCAGCACACCTGATAAGCTTATCGTGTCCACACCAGCACACCTGATAAGCTTATCGTGTCCACACCAGCACACCTGACAAGCTTATCGTGTCCCAACCAGCACACCTGATAAGCTTATCGTGTCCACACCAGCACACCTGATAAGCTTATCGTAGTCAACCACAGGCCGCACGTCCAGGAAGTCCTGTAGTTGCGACATGACAGCCACAGGCGCTTGTCGCAGCTGCTCGCCATCCACCAGCAGCAGCTGCTCAGGGCTGAAGTGCTCCAGCCAGCGCTCCAGGTGCACGGCGTACTCCCCAGGGTGGAGGCACCTGGAGGGGAGGAAGGGTCGTGGTAATGCTGTGATTCAGTAGCACGTTACTGCCGGAGGTAGAGTAGGATAAACACAATGCAATAGTCTTAAATCAAAGTCTTAATGCAATCATGAATCATATAACGAGATTTAACAATGAGCCATCTCCTTCCTTGGTATTTGCGGATAGTAACTTGGAGAGACTTTGTTGGTAACTTGGAGTAACTTGGTTTTCAAGTAGAAAAATGTAGGTAGATACATGTAGACTCCGCATTCATTGATATTTAGGGAGAATACCGTATGCGTCATATATACAGCATATATATAATAAGGCATAAATGAATTTAATATGCTTTATTGGAGCTGTAGAACCAAATGATCAGGAAAGTAATGCAAGTAAAGCCCGAAAAGGCATAATAATTATTGCACAAAAACGGCAAAAAATAAGTTCATAAGTAATAAAGATTTAAACAGATAGCATTTTGTTGAGAAAAATTAGATTAAAATTCCATCTTTACAGTTTCATACTAACATTATTTCCTCATACGTACAAATACCTATAAAAAATATTAATGAGTGAAACGAAAAAGATATAAGAAAAAGATACAACAATATCCAAGGAATTTTTCAACAGTACTCGACGTAAAGAAATCATTTCAAGATACTAACGTGTTGGCAGTAGAAGAAAAAAATAACTCAGTACTCACTGCAGTGAGTAACAGAGAGCGCATTTTCTCGTCGACGAAAACGTGAAGTCACGGATGGACAGACAGACGGACGGACATGAAGAGCACAATAGCGCCTTTTTTCCATAAATGAGAAAATGAGCTAAAAAAAATAATTTCACTAAATATCATCCGATGATGGGAATTTAATTCGTCTAACATCGGTAAATATCATCCCCAATAATATAGAGGCACCTACCTGGCCCTGAGTTCTGCCAGGCCCCGCGGTGGATAAGGCAGCAGGTCAGCCCTGAGCACCTCAGAGAAGGAGTGGTTGAGAGCAGCTGCAGCGCCGTGTGCCACCTGGTGCTGGTACCAGGAGTACGCGCGCCGCTCAGGTGGTAGCAGCAACACCACCTGCACGCATCACACTAACAGCCACGTGCAAATATTCTAAAGGACAACAACGCCACCAATAGGAGGTTAAGCGATTGAAATATTATACAATTCTAAACAACTGTAGATATTGACAGCGTTTGAAAAGCTCAAATATATGGCATGGCATTATTAATTATTAGACTTGTATTGAGATACCGTAAAAGAGGGTTACTTTGACTCCCGGGGTAAGTTTGACCACTTTTAGTTTTTTTAACAAAAACCCCCAAAACTCATAAACTATTTGGCATAGAAAAATTTTGTCAATGAGCATTAAAGGCCTAATACTGAGGCTACGTAACACAATAGAAAGATTGAAAAAGTTTGCATATCCAATAGGTTAAAAATGAAAAAAGGGACCCACGAAAAAGAGCTATTATTTAAAGCATGTCGTAGAACCCCCTCCAATTTTTTTATTTCTTGGTAAAATAACTTCAGGTTTTGGTGCATTGTAGTAGAACTCTTCTAGTTACATATGCAAATGACAAATTTGAGGGAAGTGTTTTAGTTTGCAAATAGGGGGCGCTGCCCCCAATGGAGCAACTTTGACTACCTAATGTCAGCCCTGACGGGGTAATATTGACCGGCTTGGAAATAAGTTTAGATTACCATAGGTGCTTACGGTATATAACATCTTTTGTTTGATACACCTATTAATGTTTTTTCTTCATGTTTCAGATTGTAAAGAGTCTTATATATGATAATTTTAACTTAATTTCCAAGCCGGTCAATATTACCCCGTCACGGCTGCCATTAGGTGGTCACATTTCGCCCATTGGGGGGCGGCGCCCCCCCATTTGCAAACTATGACACTTCCCTCAAATTTGTCTTTTGCATACGTAACTTGAAGAGTTCTACTACAATGCACCAAAACCTGGAGTTTATTTTACCAAAAAATAAAATATATTTTACCACCCAGTCAAAGATACTCCAAGAGTGGGGGGTAACAATGACCATCACTTTTTTTAAATTACATCAAAACTATGAGAGGCAGGAGCCAGCAATTTATGGTGAGCGAACCTAGACCTGTATCTTGCATGTTTCAAGTGAAGTTTGTTTTAGCTATAGTAAAAAAATGGCATCTTAAAAAAAAGTAGTCAAAGTAACCCCCTTTTACGGCAAGTCAGTTATTAACAGCTAAATAATACGTGTTCACACAAGCCATTATATTTATAACCAAATAACATGTGCTAACACAAGTTATGTGTGAGATAATGGAAATGGCTATATTAATAACAAGAATCTTAAATTGCAGGGATTATCTAGCTCTTGCAGCTAAAGCCAAACTGCTAGTAATTATACAGGATTTCTCACAAAAATGACCACGACCTTATAATTGATTAAATCTCCGCTTTAAATTAACAGGTTTAATATATAAATTTTTTTTGCAATGCACGTTACTTCACAACAATGAATTCTACACACCAAACAAAAAATTAAAATTAACTTATGTTTATTTGAAATGGAAGTATAACCAATTGAAAGTCGAGAACATTTTTGTCCTCGACTTATAATTGAATAATCAATTGAAAGTCGGGAACATTTTTGTCCTCGACTTAAAATTGAATAAATAATTGAAAGTCGAGGACTTTGTGTGCGTACAAGTGACAGTAGACCTCTGACCAGCTTAGCGTTGGGTAGCAGCGCCTTGACTCTGGCAGGAGCGACCTCGCTGTCGAAGTATGTCGCGCTTTTCTCGAAGATGATCTGGCCAGGCTCACGCGTAGGAAACCATTTCAGATACCTGCACAAATTTGAAATGTTAACAGTTGGCATTTTCTTTTTAAAACAGACTCAGTATAATTTATTGTCATTATAAATCCTAAAAAAATCCCATGACAATTAAACAGGTTGGATTTAAACTCCCATTTAAACTCCCATTTTTTCAAATGGGAGAGGAAAGCTGCAAAAACAAGGTGATGCTATCTTTATTGAAGTCTATTTACATTCATCCTGAATATTATTGAATAAAACATTGAGAATGAAACTAGTTTAGTATTTCATTAAAAACACCATCCCTTGTGACTACATTGAAACTTCAAAAGTTGTAATCTGGGTTAGACTTTCAAATACATCCCTACGGTGTTAATTCATGTAAACCAGTGGTTCCCAAACTTTTTCAGGCTGGCGCCCCCTTTGGCTTCCTAGTGAATTTCTAGCGCCCCCCACAGACATACGCCTCTTTCTTGAAATTTAGTACCTGTCTCTTATACACATCTAGATGNGCCCTCTGCTTTCTTACCGCCCCTAGGGGGGCGATATCGCCCACTTTGGGAACCACTGATGTAAACTAAAAATAGAGCATTTTAATATTTTCGCTACCCGGAAAACCAAACTGAATCTGTGCATTCACTATCACACTGTCAAATACATACGCTGTTGATTCATGTAAACTGAAAATAATCCATTTAAATTAATATTTTTCTACACGGAAAACCGAATTCGTTCACTAACCAGTCGAGGCCGCGGAAGTAATTATGTCCGGAGAAGAACTGGACCTCCTCGAAGGTGGTGGGCGAGGGCAGGTTGTGTTGCAGGGACGGGTGCAGCCCCAGGAACGTGTACAGCGCCGTCGTGCCCGTCTTCTGCGGTCCCAGCACCAGCGCGTCAGGCAGCTCGTCGCAGGTCTTGTTGCTCGACCAGATCTCCATGTGCCGCTTGTCCATACATGGGTCCTGACGGTCAGCAGTGAAAAATTAATAGCGGGTAAATTAACTTAAATTCAGTAAATAAGGTCCTGCACAACGACTCATTTTGTGAAAAATGAATGGCGGTAACTTGAGTTACATTCAGTGAACCAGTTCTCTACAAAGGCTCACTTGATGCCAACGGTGAATATGAACAACAGGTAACTGTTATTATGTTCAGTAAAAAGTCCTGCATTACAACCAATTCAGTGCAAAATGAATGACGGGTAACTAAACTTAACATTCAGAAAACGGGTTCAGCACCAAATGCGCGTTAAAGACAGATAAATAAAAGCGCTTATACACGGGGACAGTTGTGGCAGTCACAACAACTTTCAAATAATAACCGCCACTACTTACCGTGCTATTGGCCTCGTGTACAGGCACCGATGGCAAGGCAAGGGCCCAGTAACCATTTACACAAGGCAAGAAGGCATAACTTGTTCATCATATCTCTATGAAACGCGAAACGCCTGCGCAATGAAGAATGCTAAGGACAACCTAGTTTACATCACAGACCCAGTACAACCCAGTTTACAACACAAACCCAGTACAACCCAGTTTACAACACAGACCCAGTACAAACCAGACCCAGTACAAACCAGACCCAGTACAAACCAGACCCAGTACAAACCAGACCCAGTACAAACCAGACCCAGTACAAACCAGTTAGCAACACAGACCCAGTACAACCCAGTTTGCAACACAGACCCAGTACAACCCAGTTTACAACACAGACCCAGTACAACCCAGACCCAGTGCAGCCCAGTTTACAACAGAGATACTAACCCCCCAGAAAGGCTCCTCTTCCTCAGGGTAGAGGTCGAAGTATCGCTGCGCGAGCTGCACGGCAGGCTCGGTCTTGAGGATGAAGTTGGTTCTCTTCTGCAGCGCCTGCACGACGCCCTCGAACACGTAGAGCGCCAGCCTGTCGCTGCCATAGTTGGTCATGTGGGTCATGAACACGTTGATCTGTTGGGGCAAGGGGGGCAGTTACAGGTTGATCTGTTGGGGCAAGGGGGCATGTGATCTGTATTGCAATGAGAGGTTATCTGTTGTGTTCTTATGAGCGGTTGAGATGCTGTGGTTAAAATTAATATTAAGCTGGTTGTAATATTAATAAGGTAGGAACCTTATATATAATAAGAAAGCTTTCATGTATAATAAGGTTACAACTTTGAAACCTTATATGTAGTAAGGTTTCAAGGCAGAGAAGTATTGAAGATTTCATTATTATTATAGAATCACTATTTGTTAAGTTAGCACGATAGATGAAAATATAACACACGCTCACCTTTGTGGAGCTCTGAGAGTCAAATATAGGTACACAAGTAGGGCCACCATGCTATGCTGATATAGTAATAGTACTAATGCTCATGTCCATTTGACCTCATTAGACAACAAGATGCGTTTCTCTTTAATAGATTATGAACATGCAACCTAAGATGGCTGGAATATTATATATTATTAATATTATATTATACGTTATTATATATAATATAAATAATATTATAAATATAAATAATATAATATGATAACTATTATATTATAATGTTTTAGCGTACCGGGTTGAGGGCGATGGTTTGGAAGAGCTCGCCGCCGTCGATTGATGCGTCGAGTTTCGCCTTCAGCCCCGGGTGCTCGGGAGACTCGAAATACAGAGTGTGGGTGAACAGACCGCACATCTGGCGCGGTAGAACCTGGGCAACCGTCGCAACAACTTCAGTGCAAGATACGTGACTTTTAGAAAAATAATTTGTGAGTAATCCAACTTCAATGCACTATAAGTAATTCCTATAATAATAATTTGTGAGTAATTTGACTTCAGTGCAATATACGAACTTCCTACAATAATGGCTTGTTGAATAGTTTGACTTCAGTGCACCATACGTGATTGCAAAATTTTTAAATATATTTATACAAGTAATTAAAGTTCAGTGGACGATAGATTATAGTCACAATAATAATGGTAATAATTCCTTCCACAATAGGTGATTCATACAATTGTAATTGATTATTAATTGCAAATACACACAGGTCACAATATATTTATTGGGCTTGCTTAACAATATATTTACAAGTTTTAGACATTTATCAGTGATACTGATAAATATAAATATTTAAATCAGTGGCTGAGTGCTCTCAGTGCCGCAACGACAATACAAAAGACGGACTAAGATTTTGATGCTTTATGCAACCTAGAAGACGTGAGCCCATATCATAACACGTCTTTATCTTAGCAGAAGCGATAACAGACTTCAGTCTTTATGGGATCTCAAAAAGAGCAAACGGGTAGGAAGGCAATTGGTCCTTTGGGTCTAATGCCACAAAAACTTCCTCAATCCCAAAAAGTAGAGTTGCATGGTAAAACCTTCCTCATTTTGTACATCGTCATCTCGGCTGGGGAAGAACTGCCTCTAATTCAATGTTATTCCTACGACGATGCTCCCAAAACCTTCTCAACTAAAGCGGTACCATAATAGGTACCAATTAAAGCGGTAGATAAAATGCTTAGGCATTGGAAACAGTTGATGGCGGCGCACGAACACATCAAGCGCACCTTAATGCCCCGGTACTGGAAGCCTCTCCGGAACCTGTCGGGCTTGAGGTGCGGGTACTCCTCCGTGGACGTGGCGCGGATGCCGTAGACTTTCTTCCAAGCGTCGTAGAGCGGCTCGTGGACGGGGTACACGCCTGAGTGGTGCGGCGCCACGCTGTAACCTGCGAACATCAGGGGCTGTAGTGATGACATGAAGGAAGCTGTGGTGATGACATGCAGGAAGCTGTGGTGATGACATGCAGGAAGCTGTAGTGATGACATGCAGGAAGCTGTGGTGATGACATGCAGGAAGCTGTAGTGATGACATGCAGGAAGCTGTAGTGATGACATGTAGGAAGCTGTAGTGAAATGTAGAACATGTTCGGTCTGCTAACATCAGGGACTGTTGTGACATAGACGAAGCTGTAGAGAAATGTAGGACATGTTCGATAAACCACATGATTCTGTAGTCTGTTAACATCAGGGACTGTAGTAACATAGACGAAGCAGTACATAGTGAAATGTAGAACATATTTCACATACCACACCACGCTGCAGCCTCTGAAAGTCACAGAGCTGTAGTCAGCATCAAGCGCATTGTAAATTTGGACAGCAATTAAACTGGCATTCATCAGTAAACGATTAATTTGTAAACTAGTTTAATGAAAAATATAGCAACTTATAACATGGCGGCATCTGTTCAGGAATTTCCTACCTAATTTAATGACCATTACTATGTTCATTAAAAAACTTCAGGTCTCAACATCTTAGCATGTGAACAAACATCAAAATAACCATAGAATGAACCTGTGTCAACGGAGATGTTGTAAGTTTTAGCGAAGTGTCTGTTGAGGAGCATGGGCGCTTTGATGTCATCAACGGTGGCCAGTTTGTGGGGCTGCGTGTGTCTCCACATGTGACCAAACCACCAGAAGGAGCTTGCATTTCCTGCAATTACAAAATACGTCAATTTATATCTTTTATATCTTTTATGGCAGCTAATAAAAACAAATGAAAGTGGATAAGAGCCAATATATACAAATATATTTAATGCACCGACTAAGTTGATTAGAAACAAAAATATTTAATGCACCAACTACGTAAGTTGCTTCATATTTAAACTCCACTTTGAAGAAAAAAAACAGTAACGTGACCAAAGCCACAACAGTGCGATGCAACAACATATTTAGCTCACCAACAAGAGCTTTATCACCAAGATTCTCAGCGGCGTTGCCACTGAGGAAATAATAGCCACTGAAGCCCAGGTTGAACGTGAAGTTTGGTATCTTCTCGCGCAGCCGCTCCTGCGACTCCAGCATCGCCTGCAAGCAAACAAGAATCACACCAGCAATATTATTATTTCATATTTCAATATTAATATTATTTCATTGCAATATTTGGTCGATCCCTCAGGATCGTCCAAACGTCGTAAACACGAGAAAATCTTTAAATATTTTATAGCAACAGAATTCCATGCTTGTCTGCCCACATAATTATTAAGGTAGGTAGTATTATGGTCTAGGATTAATGCAAAGTCTATAGCTGCATTGACTGGTACAAATTAGGTTTATGGTTAACTAATCATTTCCTTACATAATTTCGGTTTTGTTAGCATTTGGGACTGCATCAAGCTGAGCAAAAACAATGTTTGCGCTGTGAGAATTTAGTATCTATCAAAAATACACAGAAAATTGTCCCTTCCTAAGTATGGATGAGCCTTGTATGTGAATTAATGAGTATTGTATGAATATTGTAAGTATTGTAATTAATGAGCATATTAATGAGTATTGTGTGTAAATGACATTGCTAGCTGCACGATAATTCTGAGCCTATTAGGAATATTTTCCTTAGTAGGTTATCGCGGTCCCTCAGATCAAAGTAACCTTGTAATGGCACAGAGTTTGTTCAACTGAAGTCAAAGGTTTAGTGAAAAATTGAACTGCCATTCAAATTGAGTGTGAAAAAATGGAAATTGTCCCCACGATGTCAGGATTCATCAGCCTGGATCCACGATGAATCACCCAAATTGAATTGCAATAAAAGATGAAAAACGTGGCAATGGAAAACCAACACAACATGGTGTTCAAATCCCTTTATATTGATGTTATTACCTACCTATTGCATACAAAGAAATCAAGTACCGGTATGCATTCAGCATTTACGTACAGTCAAAGAATTTTAAGGAATAAATATCGGCTAGTAAAAAGAAATGTATATTGTATATACGGTACATCTTTTACATACATACAGTCATAGAATTTTAAGGAATAAATATCGGCTAGTAAAAATGAATGTAGGTATATTGTATAATTACTTTACAATATTAAAGAGTGAGAATGTTTACCTTAACGTCATGATCGGTCATCCTGATGCCACTACGAGCCACGAAGATGTCATCAACGTCCACGAGGATGTAGCGCTCCAGGGGCAGGCTGAGGCCAGCGTCAAGGAAGGACAGCGCGTCCAGGAACAGGAGCTTCTGCAGCCACCCTGACAAGTCCACCCCCAGCAGCACGCGCCGGATACCGTCTATTCTACCCACGTCCTGGAAAATAGAAGGTGAACGTTATAAATCGTTCTGATATGGCTGTTATCTAAAGCAGGTACGGTATTCTATTTTGGTCTTTTAAACCTTGTTAAGTTTTATGTAAACACAATAATAAGGCATAAGAGAAAAGCAGCACCACCAGGTTCGGTGATTTTATGGTTCAACGATTTTATTTCCAATTGAAGCCGAGCTAGTGAGAGCTCAGGTCGTTTACTAGATCAAGCTTCCTCTCCCCTTATTTTCCCCCGTAGATATCAGTGAACCGCGAGGTCACTCGTGTCCTGCCGGCCATACAGCGATGATGTCTCGTCTTTCGGGACTAGTTCCCCTAAATAAAGATATTGCCTATGCAAATAATTTTTCTAATTTTTTCTACTAACTGCCTGATTACATGATAGGATGTGAATCAAGAACTTGCCAATCTAGAATTGCAGTCAAACTCGGTCGTCGTCAATCTCTAACGGCATCAACACTGAGCAAGAATAGGTAGGTATATATAACTTCTAGCACCACATAATCTAAATTTAGAAGAGACGAAGAAAAATACTGGATAAAGAATGAACCTCATATATTCTCTTTGACCTTTAAATCACCAACCTGTACATTGTCAGCCAGAAAATTTACTGGTCGGGAGTACAGCATAAAATTAAATATTTCAATAAAAGATAAAATGCACAACAACGGGCACATAAAATCGGCAAGAATTTATTTTATACTTTGACAAACTTATTGTGATGTTAATTATCTGAGATTTGTATGAACCTTAGCAGTGGGCCAGTAACATATCACGTCACCAGTAAGGCAGCAGGCAAGTAGGTGTCCACATCAGACGTTGCAAAATCAGCAAGAATTTATTCTCTACTTTGGAACACTTATTGCGATGTTTGTAATCTGAGATTTTTATAAACCTAAGCAGTGTGCCTGTAACATATCACGTCACAGTAAGGCAGCAGGCAAGTAGGTGTCCACATCAGACGTTGCAAAATCAGCAAGAATTCATACTCTGCTTTGACACACTTATTGAGATGTTAATAAACAGATTTTTATGAACGTAAGCAGTGGGCCAGTAACATGTCACGTCACCAGTAAGGCAGCAGGCAAGTAGGTGTCCACATCAGACGTTGAGGGAACAAGAGCCTCCACCAGGGGCAGCAGCAGGGGGTGCTGAGGGAGCATCACGGACACGGGCAAGGGATGGTCGCCACGTCGTGTGAGGTTCACAGACGCTCCCTCACGCAGCACTCGGTACAGACCTGCAGGGCTGCTGCTCGCCAGTCGCAGCTCCTGATGGTCCAGAGCAGAAAAGATAAGTTTTCAAATATCTTTATACTTATTGATAAATGCAAAACATTACTGGATTCAAAGTAAATAAATTAGATATGTACCATATATTACACAGATGGTACTCAATTATTTGAAGGCTTCAGGTACCGTATGACACTCAAATAAATCAACTAGTTTACTCTTGATGAGCAATGCTAGGAAGAAATAAGAAATAACCCTAACACAAGTCTAATTGAATTTTTTCCTTACAGTGCTAGTAGTGTTTAAAACTTTTCCCCCAAATAAATCACTAAAACACCTACAACTTTCCAATAACAATAATTTATAAATGGCAGCTTATTAAATTAACTTCAATAAAATGTTATATGTACTTTTGCATTGAGCTTGTTGTGGAGCAGGACAGGAAAGCCTTTAAGTTGTTCTTGCTTGCCGATCCTTGAGGCATTGTTGCTCACAATGAAGGCAATCATGCCAATTCCATTCTTTTCCATGAAATTATCAATCATTTTGCGCTGGCTTGCGCTGCGGTTCAAATACATCTTGAAGTCATCAAGTATGAAACATTTATACTTGGTGTGGATGTCTGTTAAGACAGGCATTGGTGAGCCTGGCATAACAGTGATGACATCAAACCTGCAACAGAATAATAATTCTTGCAAAATTGAAGTAATAAAAAACACCAAATTTAACCTATCTAATAATCATATTGACTAGCCACAGGGATGTTTCATAGAACAATTTGAATCCTGGAATAAAGGATATTCAAATAAAATGATAACATCAATTATGCATCTCTTCGTTGAATCAGGTCCAATTGTTTTCAAAAGTACCTAAGCAAAGATTTGTTGAATGATCTTTTATTTTGTCAATTTAGTGCAATTTATTCAGATTGGGTATCAATTAACCATTGACTTCAGTAGCAGAATCAATCAGTACAATTATTCAGCTAATCTGAAGAAATATTATTAAAAATTATATAACAAATTATAATTATTGTTAATAATAGAATAAATTATTCACTCATCATTTCAACATGCACATAACACATCATTTTGATAATTGAAAAAATAATGTTTACAAATAATCAACTAAGCATGATTTTCAGTAGTAAAATAAATTAGACTATCCAAATAAAAAATTCTCTTCACTGACTTGAACTTAATCATCTCCAATAGCTCAGTGATGGCACGTAGGATGGCAGAACCTTTTCTTTTAGAAGCAAAAACAAGAATCTTGGCATCACCGCGACCACCGTGATGAACGAAGCCACTAGGATTCTCCCAGGCTACTGGTGGAGGGGAATGTTTATGCCTTGGAGCTTCGGTGAATGGGTGGTCAACATCGGGTGTTATGTCATCCATAGCACTCCCTCCCCCTTGCCATACCAATCTGAGGGGGATTATGGAAAGAAATAATATATATTACAATTGATTTACCTATTACCACTTCTTACCAAATCAATCTAAAAAAATCATTATCAATTGAAATAATAATCAAGGAAAAATACTGCGGGATTCAAAACTGACTGTCATTGGAGTTATGTCAATCAGGACAGCATAAAATATGGAAGCATGAATGACACTACCTTTGGTCTGCAGAAATAACATGATGAGGTAGCCATCAGGGTTAAAAAAACATTATGAAAGCCAGATAATTCATATACGTACATAATGGAAATATATTCAACAGGCAGTCAAGATCAATCATTAAATCAAGCATGGCACTGTCATTGCGTCACCACTTGATTTAAGGAATGATGAGTCATGAGTCATTGATGAATTCACAGTCCAGTTGATGACTGCAACTAGGTATATATAATGCTAGCATAAACCCTACAGTGGGTCAAAAGAAAACAATGAACAGATGATCATGTTTTCAGTTGGTTTTCAGCATAGGGATGAGTTGTGTTAATAAAAATGTCTGTAAATCAAATCTTAGGTGTTGGCAGCATCTTTTTTGTTGAATCTGAAATAGGTAGTACTTGCTCCTTAACAATTAAGAATCTTGACAATTTTTGGAACAGGAATTGACAAGTCAGTTCAGAAATTATCACCTAAAAATTTTATTAATAAATTATGTAATTTGAACACCCAATATTTCCAATAGGATACATTTATTATGCTCTCAATCACACTTCTGGGATGAACTAAGGTAAATTTTGCACTTCTCTTTTTTCAAATCTAACTGAAAAATCTTAACACAGTGATTGGTCAAAAGATTAGTGTAATTGCAATTTCAAACATGTTATTATTTCAAACTTAATACCAATGCTACCTGGGCTTCTTGAGGTCATCAGAATTCTTTGAAAGTTCAAAATTTTCCAAGAGGTCAGGCAAAAGAATTCTTGTTAGGTAGAATCTGGAACAAAAAAATGTTTGAGAAGAGAAGATGGTAAAAAACAGTTATAAACCTATACTATAACTTAATAGGTCTAGATATAAACAATGGAGCGCCATATCTTTCATTCCAGATATCAAAGTATGCATAAATACCTACTAATCATGTTCCTTTGACCGCTTCAGATAATTCACAGTACCGTAACTGTACTTTTTTATGTGAAATCAAAGTAGTACAAGATCGAAAATACATCAACTTTTCAATATAAGGTCTGAGAAATATAATTTCACATTATTTCAGATCATTTCCTCAGTCATACATGAGCATGTATTTGAAGGACACAATTGGATTAAGATAATAATTTGTATTCACTTGTCAGTATAAATTTACTGCTAACATTTAAAGTATTATGAACCCACCTTGACACAGAAAGTGATGATGACAACAGGTACAGAACAATTAAAATAATGGCACAAAATAGAGCAATGAACTTGCGGTTGCCAATCAAGTTCCGAGGGTAGCCAGCAAGTTTCCATTTGCAGCGTCTCCAACAGTTATACCCAGCACCTTTATTTGCTCCTCTCCAGCTACTACAGCTGTTTTGATGAGCTTCTGTCCTTTTATTCATTGATGAAATCAATGTAAGTCTTTAAATGCTGGATAAAATTAGCAGCTAAGCCAATGGAAAGCTTCCTAGGGCTCGCAAAATATAAGATCCATCAGCTTTCATCCAAGGATTTTTTGTTCAAGATGGACATTGAATCAAGGCATCTTGAAAGGAAGCACTATAATATCATCATTGTCATTAATTTTTATGTAAGTGTGCAGCTACTGGTACTTTCATAAAATGGTACAAATTAGTCTGAAATAAGAGAGTGATTTAAGGACATATATTTATATATAGTACGTACATTTAATTAACAGGTCAAAATTTGTTTACTATCTAATTTCAATGTTTTAAACAATTCAATGAAAGAAAAATCATAACACAAGGAATTCAAAGCCTTCCCAAATTTCTATTAAAAGATGAAAAGACTGAAATCTCAATTTTCTGTAAGAGGTATCTTGCTCATGACTCATAAGTGGTAATACCCATAAATGAACTTAAGGGAGTGTATAAAACTTTCTCTGCTCTGCAACCATGTACAGTGGTAGTGCCAATGCCAATTATGCCATCACAGCAAATCTGCAATGCCATGCAATGTATGATAACTATTGTTATGTTATTGCATCAAAATGCAATTTATTATTTTATACTTGTAACAAATTTGGTCCCTAAAAGGGTAAATAATCTTCATCGAAGTCTCAAAAAAATTTGTTGGAGTTTGGACTCCCTTAAGCTCAAGTTCCTTTGTTTAGTTTGTTAGTTGATTAGTCCATCTACGTAGTTGGAAAGCCCATTTCAACTTCTGAGTGGTCTCCAATTGGCTTACCATAGCATTTAGAATATAGTTTAAATCCCGAAGTTTCTTAATTCTTAGCATGTTGAACAGTTAACACCTTTTTTATTGTTGTATACAAAAAAATTTTACTTTACTCAGCAAACAGCCAAAATTAAAAATAAAAGGTGGTGAGTGAAATTCTGCATGAAAGGTACTACTAAGGTAGTGCCATAGTGACTAGTGGGGGATTGGGGGTAGAAAATGCACAAAATGTTTAACTTGAGCCTTTGAGGGACTAGAGGGAGTTCAACTGTTGTATGGTGTTAAGGCTAATTAATTTAGGCTTTAACTGTTAAGGATCAAACCAGCGAGTCCATAGTCCACACTGCCATGCTGTCATGGCGACACTGCCAACTTACAGGCACCCCACTTGGCACACTGGGACCAGAGTTGAGTAGTGAATGGATGAATTTAACCCTCTACCTGCGCACTGCCCCACATACAACAACTTTCAAATGTTCTCTATTGCTTACAAACGTGACAACTTCCTCAGGTGTCAGGTTGCTACACTCAATACCATAGTTTACATATATTTCAAGTTGAATGTTATGTTTCCAGAGAGTGACATATGGCAGTGGAGGGTTAAACACATCAACTACAGTTGAAGCCTCTGGTCACCTGTCACCAGTCAGCCACAGCCCACAAGTCCACAACAACATAAAATCCATAAGGCTTCAGCCTTCAGGCTCAGGCTGAGCCAGCACCAGAGAGCCTGAAGCCTTATGCCATTATGGCCAAGTTCCAAGCAGCCACTTCAACTATAATTGTTTAAAATCACTCACTTGAAGGGTTACAAAGGGTTAAAGCTATGGAGTATGGGTTATCCTGAACCTGAAGGAAGAGCCGCTCAGCCTTCAGATTTCAGGAATTCAGGATAAGCCTTAGCCCAAGAAATAAGAATTAGCAACAATTATTTTGCTTCAAAGTTTGGACCCCTTTGGCATTTGAAGATAACCATGAAGTTCCAGTTTATGGGAAGTAAATGGAGGTGATGGATTTGCCAGGACGTGGATTGTGAGCCAGTGATCACTAACTTCACAGATTGAATCAAGTTTTTTTTTCTCACGGCAGAGCCGTGAAACATGGCAGAGCAGTGGAACATGGCAGAGCCGCAGAACACGGCCAAGCCGTGAAACATGGCAGAGCAGTGGAACATGGCAGAGCCGCAGAACACGGCCAAGCCGTGCAAGACCATTTGTAACAAGATCATGATACCAAGGGTTTCAAAAATTGGCTACAAATCAATAAATTCCTAAAGCATGGGTTTCCCACATTGTCTATATACCACATGGGCCTCACACATGGGCCATGGTACACATAGGCCTCCTCATAGAGGTGGCCCAATAACCAATTCAAACTGTGCATCCTAGTGCTGAAGAAGTTCAAGTATGACTTGGTGACTACGTAATTAAAAGACAATGGTGCCCTCACCTGGTGGCTGGTACAACAACAAGGGGAAGAAGAGGATGCTTGAAACGAAACAAACAAACGTAGAGCCCCCATCCCCCACAAAAGCCATCAGCAGGTAATGCACACTAATTTAATATAAACTGAGAAAACCTATTCAGTAGTACCAAAATGCAAAATCAAATTATATTCATACAATGTTATTGCCCATTCCAAAGCAATGTCTCTCATTACTATATTAAATAAAATGAAAAAATGGAAATAAAAAATATATATATAACAAAACAAAAATGAATCAACACAAGGTAAGGAATTGAATAGAATAGAAATTCCCAGCCCAGCTAGTTGCTATATCCATGCCCTAAACTGAGCCTCACATGAGTATGCACAAGTTACTGAAGGTCCAGCCTGGGTGGGAGAGAATGCTGGCCCAGGCCCCAGAGGGCAGTCCACACTTGACACTCCACAGTGTAACAGCAAGTGTTCAATTGTCCAACAACTCACGGGATCCACATTCCACATGAGCACAGAAGGCTATTTACAAGATTAAAGCAAGCCAAACGGGCTCTGACTCCAGCATGCCCAGTTTGGAGTCTGATCAAAGTTCAAAGCTGTCTCAATGGCACAGTGACTAACTGAAACTGACTATGAGAGGCCCAGGGCCATTATCCTACCTCATCTCTAATCAATTAAATCAAAGTGATAAAGCAGCCTCTCCCTGATGCAATTACTTCATGTCTTCATCCATCCACAATCCACCCACAGCTGATTCCTGCTGGCCTGAATACTATCATGCAATAGTTTCTCCATCTCCACTTCCTCTTTTGAGCTGGGAGTGAGGCCAGTGAAGGTATGGTAACCAAGCATGTGGGCATCATTGGCTGTCCGGTCAGCAGCCTAATTGCCCTCAATAACATCATAACCATGGTGGCAACTGGCAAGTGGCCTGGGCCCTGGGAGACTGGGCTGGGACTGTGACATAGGCCTACTAGATGCACACCCCAATGCCTGATGCCTTATTGGAGGGCATTAGTGACATGGTTTTATTTTGTATTTCCTCAATGCCTCATGGGATGGGAGAGCATTAGTGACATGATTTTATTTTGTATTTCAAATATTAATCTTAGGTAGGAGTGTAGGACCGTAGGACTAGGAACTTCCTAGGACTAGGAACAACCTACTTCCTAGTAGGAAGTAGGTTGTCTATCTCTTTATTCTCTTATCTGACTACCAGTAGTGACTTATCATGCAAATTGAGGATTGTGAATCTGTGAAAATTGCAACATTTTCTGATTGAAGGTTGGTTTGTGACCAACACAAGCCTTCTGCTTTTGCAAATAATTTGGATTCAATTACCTGAACATTCAGACAAAGCTTCCTGTTTAATAGGACCCCTCTGGAGCCTGGAGGGACTAGGGAGTTGCTACTGCAACAGTGCAACTGAGGTCAAATGGATTATGGCCAGGAGAGGAAAAGATCTACTCTGTGACTTATGGCTAGGTCGCTACCACCAGGACAACCTAGGAGTGCTCACACAGTCACACAACTGACACAAGATCCATCTGTAAATATTGCTGTGTGGCTAGAATATTTGAAGTTAACAAGGTCTTGAAAAATTTGGGCAGCAGCCCTGAAGATCATTAGGTAGGCTTACTAGGCTATGCTCTATTGAAATGCAACTCTCCTTGAGGGCTGACTGCTGACTGCTGAGGCCACCTTGATAAGTTGATGCCAGTCTGCCAGAAGAAGTATCTGATACAGATACAGTCGAGGAAGAAATGTCAACTGACTGAACTGAATTGAGAATAGAATTTCGGAGTTGAACCAGGGAAGAAGTGGGGACATAAGGGAAGAGGTGAGCGTGAGCAGACGAGGAACTGGGATTTGTAATGAAGAAAAGATGGGTAGCCCTGGCGCGGGGCGCCGCGTGGTGCGAGCCGCGAGGGACAAAGCTGGCTACTGGCTAGTGATGTTGTCCTCTGTGGCATCACTGGCATGAGAGGAAGTGCGTTTGCAAAGAACATACAGTGGGGGGAAATAAATATTTGTACACTTGAAAATCGTATTTTAATGTATGTAAGTACACAAACTGAACAGGAGAAGTGATTTATATTATGTATAGAGGCGCATTGTATTCAAAAATAGCATCAATAGAAATTAAATCTCAATGCAACAAAAATTAATGCAACATGTTAACTTCTTCGGGTGAAAAAAGTATTCGTACAAAACAATAAATCCGCATTATTTTAATTTAATACTTGGTTGAATACCCTTTATTCAGCTCAACAGATACCAGTCTATTTCTATACGTCTCGACCAATGATTTGCAGATGCTGACTGGTATTTTATACCATTCTTCTTGGCACACCACCTTAAGATTCTCAATGTTTGTTGGGGACCTTTTCTTAATTTGAATCTTCAAATACCGCCACAAATTTTCAATCGGATTGAAGTCCGGCAACTGGCTTGGCCATTCCATAACGTGTACCGTAAAATGGGGTAACTTAGACCGGCGGGGTAACTTAGACCACTTTTCGTTTTTTGAACAAAAACCCCCACAACTCAAAATCTATTTGACGTAGAAAAATTTTGTCAATGGACATTAAAGGCCTAATACTGATGCTACATAACACAATAGAAAGATTTAAAAAGTTTGCATATCTGATAGGTTAAAAAATTAAAAATGTGATCCACGAAAAAAAGCTATTATTTAAAGCCTGTCAGAGTACCCCCTCCAATTTTTTTATTTTTTGGTTAAAAATATCGCTCAAATAAATCTCTTAAAATATTTATCATTGATAATACAGTCGAACAGCTCCAGTCTCTTAACATGGCTGCTCTCTGCAATGTCTCATCTCTGCCTTTTTCCCACAGTTGCGCAAATCCTGAGCACTATTCTGTCGGGGGGCTGCCTTGGACGAGTCTCCAGAGCTCCCTCAGAGGCTCAGCTCCAAAAGAAGAAGAAGAAGAATCAAGTTGCAACAAATTTCAGACAAGTCCTCGAGTTT